CTGAAAGTCAACGGCATTGCACCTTTGACTACAAATCGGGCAACGCCCTCTGGTTGCTGCCGCAGGGCTTGGCCCTGGCTTTAGCCATGGAGCGGAGGTCAATGCCGCCGACCCTGCATCATTGGATCTCTGTTTCTCCGAGGGGGCCTTCCGCACCCCACCCCCAAACCACGTTCAAATTTACACGCGTTCCAGAAGCAAATCCTCACAACACGGAGGGATTTTTGAGGGATTCTGGGGTCCTTTGGGACCCCCCCAAAAAAGCATCATGAGCACGGACGTTTTTGAAAACTAGACCCTGAGGCCTATATGGGTCCGGGCAGCTATTTTTGCAGGTGGAGGGGGTACCGGAAGAGCTCAGATTGGAGAAACGCACCCCCAATGATGCTGATGATGCTGGCCCCCTTGGCCAGCATCAGCATCATGAGGGCTCCGTTTACAAATTTCAAGGTATCAGGCTGCAGCCACTTTGATTTGTTTGTATTTTTATGATGGCTTTTGGCTGGCATTAGGAGGACCTTTGGGCCAGATGTGGTCATGTTGGGATGTTTTTGGAGGTAACCCAAGAAGGTTGAGCAGGGAATCACTGACCGCTCCACGGCTCCCTCTTCATGCTGCCTGCGCTGCCCGCCCCTGGGCGCAGCACCTTAAATAAAATGGAAGCTGCTATAAAGGGGTTCTAATACTGGAAAGGTCTGTAAGGGAGGATTCAACCCCTAAATAGTAGTTTCCATTTTATTTTCCATTCTCCCAGCATAACCCCAATATAGCCTCAATATTACACCCAAGCTGATGATGTTCATGCTGTAGGATGCTTCTCTCTCGGCTGACCTGCTAATAATGAAAGCCACCTAGTGTTGCAGTCGGGGTTTGTGCGGAAGACACGGCTGCTGCAAGGACGATGTGCCAGACATTGTTAGCAGCCAGCCGCTACCAGCTCGCTCGTCGAAGATGCGGCTCTCTGCTCGAACAGCCCGCGCTGCTGCCTTGCAGGAGGCTGGTCCAGTTGCTGCAGTGATAGCTCTTGCTTGCAGAGGACAGTTTAACATCATCTAACCTCCCCGGCTGGTATCCCGTAAGAAGGCTCTCATACGCGAACCGAACCGTCCCACGAGGAAGTCAAAAGAAAGTAGATTAGATTGATTAGATCAGGCAGCCAGTGCTGTCAGCCACCCGTGCTCTCTGTGTGTAGCAGGCTTCGCGCGACCGTCACGAGGCAGGGCAGGGCAGGGCATGGCTGCAGCGCGGGGAAGCACAGCATTAGATAATCAGTTCATCTGCACATCATGCTACCAGCTCTCTCCTTCAATGTCATCAGGAAAGGAGGAACTCCGAACCGCGTGAGGCGGGAGAAGTGCACGCTGCAATTAATCAATTGCGGCAGCCTAGGAGAGAGCATTGTGGCATCTGGCAATGTTTTTGCAACTCACTCCTGCTACAGGTGGAGCTCTCAAGCTCTCATCTGACGTTGCTTGCAAGCTCCACATGTTAAGGGGCTGGGGTCTTGTTACAGGTCAGGGTGTTCTTCGTGCTTACTGGCCTAGCTCAGCACTGTTTCAGTTGGCATAACATTTGCCCGTAGATGACGCCGCACAGAAGGCTGTCTTGGCTGCTTTGTCGCAGGTGCCAGGGGGGGAGCGCCAGTCCAGCAGGCAATCCCGACCATCTGCTACTCGCTTGCAACGTCATCCGGCGTCTCCTCCCATCCTTGGAAATTCAGATCATCAGTATCGCCCTCATCGGAGCTTCGCATAGATTTGCCGATCTATGCAGTTGGACGAGATACAATTCTGTAAGCATTGGTGGGTATAGATGTCTAGGGTGATCATGGAGACTGAAGTTTAGGGCTCACCGATAGGGCCGCTTGGGATCATCCATCCAAGAGACAGGATCCCGACTACAAGCCAGCTCAATCAACTGGATCCCCATGGTATCTTACTGAGGGTTCGTAGGGAATAAGGGGCATATCTTGTATAGGGATTATGTAGGGATTATCGTCCTTCATTCCCTTTTAACCACCAGTAAGACTGTAATCCACCCTGATCCCTAAAACCCTAAACCCAACCCAAATCCCCTAAACCTTAAACCCAACCCTAATCCCTTAAACCACTCAGTTGCTGCAGATCTGAGGTGGGGATGGAACAGGTCCAGGACTGTGCGGAGTCTCCCCAAGCGTGCTGGGGTTTGGGAAAATCGCGGTACTTGGCAGTTTCCCAAATTATGGGGACCCAAATATAAACCCCCATGTACTATAATCCTTATTATGGGAAAGGATACCCTCCAATTCTGGGAAACCCCCTTGTGGTATTTACAGTCATGCTTGAAGAAGCTTCAGCATTCCGTACGATCTCTGCCCTGGGAGACAGAACAGATAGGCATTGCCAAGTGGCACCTGCCTCTTAATCACGAGAAGCCCGAGGTTTGCATTCCATCATTTGGAATAATGCTTGTTGCTTGCTGCTGTTTCTCTTGTAACCAGCTCCTGCTCTATAAATTGTGAGTCATACATGTACACCAAGTACTGTCCTGAAGGAGCAACCAGAGGAATCCAAGCCTGCGGAAGAGCAGGAGCAGGAGGAGGATGAGCCAGGATTTATGGAATTTCCCGACAACGCGCCGCTTGAAAGAGCAAAGAGAAAGCTGTTTAGAAGAGAAGCGGCCCTAGTTTGAGGTATTTGGGTGGTTGGGAACTGGGATGCTCGTCTTGGCAACATGTGGAGAACTACCCCAAGTATCAAAAATGCAAGAGTGTCTTGTGCAGCACCATGCACGGAGATTGCCCCGCTGCTCTTGGTGTGGTTTGCATAAATTATGTTGGCTGCGAGTTCCTGTACCTGTGGTGAAGGAGGTTCCCAGCCATTGTTTTAGGCATTTTAGCTTTGGATGGTTTCCCTTTGCAACATCAGGCAACCTGTAGGCGCCATGTAGCTGAAACAGTCTGAACAAATAGGCCCGCTGCTTCTCGATGTGATTTATGAAGCCTCAAGGAAAGACCAAGCGATATGGTTCATTTCGCTGCCGGTTCTCCTACCAATCTGGCTCATCACCCCTGAGCCCAGCGCACCACGGATCAATCCGTTATGTTTGCTTGTCCAGAGGCAAGTGATTCTGAGCATTTTGGTGATGTGTAGAAGAAAGCGTGAGCTGGACCTCAAGCAAACATGTTGCATCGCTTTGAGTACATCGGAGTTTCCAAGGAGCGATTGTTCTTGGTGACCTTCATGGCATCCTTGGCATTGCTGCCATGTTTGCAGCAGGTAAATACCTTTCAGATGGGCCACATGTCGGGAGGAGTAAATGCACTTTGTGGCATGCAGTGATATGATTATGAGGGCCCCTCTCTTGCTGCCCCTCCCAAACGAGTCAAAAATGAGCCCAAAGAAGGCTCACCTGAGGCCTCGGGTCGGGCCGTAAGTAAGGGTGAGGTGACCTACCCCCCCATGATAACTCTTCAAAGATGCTCAAATAGTAATAAATGTAACGTAGCAACAATAGTCGTAATAGTATGAATAGTAATAGTACGTATCATAGTAATGGTAATGCTAATAATAATAATCGTAATAATCATAATAGTAAGAATACGTAATAATAACAAGACAGGTCTGGATAGCAGGCCTGTCCTTCGCCCTTGTTTGGTGGGCCTGGCTCTCAGTAGATTGCCCTCAGAACCCCCCCCAAGAAGGACGATCAGCATCCTCAGAAAAAGAGTAACAATAGCAATAACAGTAGCAATAGTGGTAATATAATGATAGAAGCAATAAGAAGTAATATAGTAATAGAACTCATAATAGTAACAACAATAGTAGTGACAAGACAGGATAAGGTCTCCATGGCCAGATTTCACATCTTCGATATGCTCATGACATTGCAGTCAGCCTCGCGTCGCTCAAAAATGTATCTCCGTGCAAAATGCTTGCAAGGGTGGGACTCAGGTCGAAATCCTTGGGGAGGCATTGCACATCGATTCGATTCTCATGAGCTTCACGCTGCTTGCAGCCTCCTGGCTTGTTGTACATCAAGAAAGAAGAGAAATCTGCAAACATGTGTCTGTTTGTGATCTCCAAAATTTGGGTAATTCCCAAAATGATGGGCCTCTTGTGGTTACAGACTATATTACGGCACCTAATATCTAGGGGTTCCAAAATGGGATCCAAATTTTGCGAACTACCCATATAGCCCTAGGATCCGTATGGCCCCCCGGTTTTTCAAAACCACCAAGAGGGAGCCAGAAAGGAAGGCTTGACGTACAAGCTGGCAGAACGCCACAGTACTGCCGACATCGTTTTCCATGTCATTTCCCATTCGATTTTCCAGTACGAACACTATTGCGATTAAGACGACAAGGCTTGTAACAAATCCCAATTAGCCGCACCTTTCATTTGTTCCCCGTTCTTTTCCATGTTAATGTGGTTCTCAGTTCTAGGGGTCTGGGTAGGCCTTAAATCCTGAACCTCATAAGGCCGGAACTTCCATTCCTGACGCTGCCTCGTCCGTCGCAGTTGCCAAACAGGGAGAGGGTGACATGGCTGTGTGAGGGCCTCAGAATCTCTGCTCCTATCTGAGTAGTTTGCTGAGATCCCCGAAGAATCGGGATTCTTCTGTTCTACTTGGTGTCGCTCCGTGTGGTGCAGAAGCTCCCACAAGGTACCAGGTTTCACTAGTTTTCAAAGTTTGCCCCCCCCCAAATAAATAATCTAGTAGTTTCCATGTTATTTTCCACTATCTCAATGTAACCCCCCTATATATAACCATTACATAGGTCAGTGCATGGCCTGTAACAGTGAGCAGCAAGCATTGGCAAAGGTCCTGGCCCTGAACTCCTAGTAATATACTTTCTTTGGAGCGGCGCCGAAACTCCGAAGAGTGCCTCCCGCGGGTATTTGACTGGGTCGCTGTTAAGGAACTTAAATTAAGTTACCATAATGGGTATATATAGTAAATAATCAGGTTTCCCCAATACAGTAACTTAATTTAAGTTCCTTAACAGCAACCCAGTTGAGGTCATCCTCTGTGGGCTCCAATATCTTCGACATCCTTGTGGGACTTCCGATTCTGGGTCAATTTTTGAAACGCTTTTAGTATTCCACGAAACGGAGACAACTGGATCATCATGTGCGCTGATGATTGTAATTCGGATCCAGGATTCCATGGATGATCAAGATTGCTTTGAACGATGTGAACTATCAGGCCGACCTTACGCGCATTGCATTCGTTGTGGCTGAAGTGCTGATCTCTGAAGGTTTTGGCGCTTGGTTGTATTACGTTGGATGTTCCCATAGCCAATACGTACCAAAATCCTATTGATCGCATTTCCTGGCATGAGCATTGTCAGGCTTAATCTTTCGTAGTTTGCTGCTTTTGGGTGGCTGGCTCTCCTGCAGGTCACCATCAAGTCGCCCTTTCTCGCATTCCACACAATCCTGTACCTTGGACACAGTGGGGATGAGTCGTAGGCCTGAATTTTGCGCGAAGTCGAAATCCCTGTACTTGAGGTAGCTCACTTAGGCCTCGTTTTACTTTGTATTTGGCAACAGCCAACATGTTTCTTTTTGAGATGGGGCTGCTCTTCGATTTGGGGCTGTTCATTTCAAGCTGCGCGGAAGGATTTGTGGCAGCTGACGAGGTCAGTCATTTTCATGCAGAACCCAGAACTCCGATGCCCGCTGAATCAAGCCTAGCCCTAAACAACAAACCCTAAAACCCTAAACCCCAAACCCTAAAAACCCCTGAGCCCTTTTTGAGGTTGTTGTTCATGGTCGTTGCGGTTGTTCTCAGCATACATTGCCTGGGATGGAAGCTGAATCGTATGCTGGGCTTCTGCATGGCCATCCTGTAGCTTGGCTGACAAAGAAAGTTCTTCATTTATGAGCTATACTCTAGCAACTCCTTTAAAGGGGGTTATATAGGGTTTAGGGTCCTTAAAGGGGGTTATGTTAGGGATGACAGAGGGGAGTATCATGGGGCTAAGGGGGACGTTGGGCGTTTAGACGATAGCTCACATATGGGCGTTGTCAAAATGAATGACCTCTTTTTGGGAGCCCCGATGGTTAGAATCAGAAGTATGCCAGGTTGGGTTCTACGTTGCGGACTGCCCATATAGTATGTGAAAACCCTCATATGGTTAGACGAGGTGGGTAGTGAGACTTTGTATTTAGTGATGTGCTGCCATTGTGCATTCTTATCGAGTACACTGGTTGTTGCGACTTCTACTGCTACTACGACATCGTCCTACTCACAAGGCTTGTTCTGCATCATCGCTCTCACAATGACACCCTGATTAGCATGGTAACGTGCGCCCTGTTAGCAAAGCATCATGCGCCACAGAGATGTCATAGCGAGCCCTGGTCTAAGGTATGTGGCGTCACCACCTCAGTGCTTGTGAACGTGTCTGGGTTTTAGGGACGTGTCCGATACCTTCACCAGACGAAGATCTGACACAAGTGGGAAGTCAGTTCAAGCTGCAAAGCATGGATTTCCCGACTTGTTAGGTTCCTTGGCATTGCCCTCTCCGTGGAAACTACGCAGCCAGAGTGGCTTAAATTCTGAGCGCCTGCTGCTCATTCTGGTAGTGAGAGGTGCAGAGCCCTTTTTTTGCGTTCGGGCGGTTCAGGAGCGCCTGCAAAACAGTCGCAGCCCGAAGGCACCCAGATGCGGGCAAGATGCCTGCAAGCGCCGCACCTCAAGAGTAGGAATGATAACGTGTCTGTAGAGTCTAGAGCCCCGCATAACTGCAGAGAAGAGAACTCCCAACAATCAAGGAGACCGCGATAGAGGACCCGAATTTCGATCCTTGAATGCGTCCGTAAGACGGAAATGCGACCCATCAGCGGCCTGTGTTTTTGATGCGTTTAGGGGGTTCGTGGTAAGCATACTGAGAGTCATGTTTCACAGTTCGAACTAGTGCCGTCTAGTCTAGCGGAACCCCGGCCACTGCAATTCTATCCAAGATATTCCGTGGCTGCAAACACACTGGCACATGTCAGTGCTGTTTCCAGATTTTTGGTGAGCTTGTGCAACTCAAGCTGCCTGGGGTTCCGTGAAGCCTAGAGGCAAATTCAAACTCAGAACAGCGGCCCTCAGAACTGAGGCCGCTTATTCAGACGTAGCCGGCTACGTCCATCAAATCTTGCGGGTGAGGATCAAAATCAGTTTGACTGCTTCTTTCAACGGCTTGCTTCGCTGTCCAGTCCCACCGCCGACGGAAAGTGGGACATGAGCCAGTACCTTTCAGTAAAAGGTACTTTGCATCTCAGGAAGGTGGTGGCTTGTGATTCTCTTCAAGCTAAGCGGTGCTGCTTCATCCAAACAGTCCTTTGGCTGAGCTGCTGAAGCTGAAACCATTATAGCCTCGTAGCCCAGGAATGTACAGTGGCATTACAGCGCCCAAAGCACGGCGCTTGCCTGTAGAATCCTGGGGGTTTCGCAGTGTCCCACCACCTTGCCAGCATCGCCAGCCACTCATTACGGGGGCCCATGCCGTCCTGGCAACGGCACTGTGCGTCAAAGCATGCAAGTCATTCAGGTTACAGAAACCTCGCAAGTTCCGTCAGCGCTCTGCCAAGACCCTTAGGAAGGCCCTGACTGATGATATCTCACAGGCTGTTGATGAGGTGGGCAATACATTGGAAGATGCGGTCTTGCACTTCTCCCGGCTGCCAGCCTGGATGTCGGGACGAGAATCTACAGCCGAGGGCTCTCCTCCAGCAGGGGATGGATCAGATGGCAGACGAAAAGTGGTGGTGCTTGGCACCGGCTGGGCAGCACATGCCATAGCGAAGATTATCGATGTGAGCAAGGTGGACGTGATCGTAGTATCCCCACGGAACTACTTCATCTTCACGCCTATGCTTGCAGCTGCGTCTGTGGGCACAGTCGAGTATCGCTCGATTCTGGAACACATCCGCAGCTCCAATCCAACTATCGGATACTGCCAAGGTAGGGAGCAAAAACATGGAGCCCATAATTGGCACTATAATCCCTATGTAAACCCTATATAATCCCTGTAGGTTCCATTATCTTTTCCATTATCCCATGAGATCTCCTATATAACCCTGTGTCAGACAGAAGTCTCCGAGTTTGGTTGACCACGCCACGCGCTAAACTTGCGCAGGGTGTACAAATAAGGGGGGCAAGCAAGTTGAAATGGGCTACAGTCCCAGTTCCATCTCATGTTCCATGTGCTTTTCCATTTGGTTCTTTAGTATTGGGTGAAGATGATAATATCCTTAAAGCCCTATATACTCTCAGTACAATCCCAACATATACCCTCTATAATGCTTATATACCTAACCCATAGCTGTTCGAATTGCCAGACAGGCACCTGCCAACACGTGGACGCCGAAGCCCAAACGGTACTGGTCCGACCATTCCCTGAAGGTGCAGATCCACTACAATTTTCTACTATTTGGGTAGTTCCCAAAATTAGGGTCCCTTTTGGTATCCCTAAATAATCGGTGCCGTAATATAATCTATAACCCCGAATTTGGGAACTTGCCATTTAAGTAGTATTTAGATACATTTGAAGTAGTGTTTTCTACGGTTTGCCATCATTTGCTAGTATTAACTACTACTTACTATTATTGTTACTACTATTAACCATCATTACTATGGCTATTATTTTTACTGCTACTATTATTACTACGATCACTACCAGTGCTATTCTTGCTACTATTATTGTTCTTATCCCTGAAGGTGCAGATCAGGACTTCACGCTGTCCTACGACGCTTCTTGATGTGTGAACGTGCTGTGTCGACAATGCCAAGATTCACTGAGACTATGTGTGTGTCGTTGATGTCCTATTGACTGAGCTCTAGTTGGTATACACATGGTTGACTGGGCGGTTGTCACATTTTGCGCCAATTGTACATAGAGAAGAAGAGGAGGAGAGAGAGCTAAAGAAGGACATTCCAGCCGCCGCTCCCTTTGTTTATGAACTCATCGCATGGGGTCCTTGATGTCTTTGTTCAACGCTAAGAAGATTCGTCCCGAGAGCGAACCTAATGAAACGAGGGTGCAATAGGCTGGAGGCCTACTGGCGCTTCATCCCCGACCAAAAGCCCCAAAGAAGATATCGCGGCAGGCATAGTCAAAAAGACAAAATGACAGGGCTTTACGAGTAGCTGTGGCAGCAGAAGCCGCATTTGCAATGATGCATAGCACCAGCTGACCCCGACTAGGTTCTTGTGGTTGCTGTTGGCCTTCGCCCCAGCTCACTTGGAGTACCAGGCGGGTTCTGCGACACGACCAGTGCAGCAACACAAGCAGCGCTCGAGACTCAATCCTGCCGCACAGGTGTGGATGAGCATTGTTTTTTCCTCAAGAACATCGACGATGCGAGACGACTGCGTAAGCGAGTTACACTGAACTTCGAAGCGGCGGATCTGCCTGGCAAATCACACGAGGACCAGCATTCGCATTCAACTGCACCCCCTCTGACTGGATCTCTGCTAAGGGTACATACCAGCCAAATCAAGCTACACTTGGGTTAATCTTTCCCGACACAGTGCCGGACTCAAAGCAGAGCATGGGAATCTTTTGCTCGACCCCTGCAGGAACGACAGCGGCTGCTCACGTTTGTCATAGTTGGGGGTGGGCCGACCGGTTGCGAGTTCTGCGGTGAACTCTCCGACTTTGTTCGGAATGATTTGCGACGCTTCTACCCCAAGCTGGCCCCATTGGTTCGCATTGTCATTGTGCACCGCGGCGCAACTCTCATCCCTGACTTTGGTGAAAGCCTCCAGGACGCTGCGCGCGAATTCCTGGAGACCCAAGGCATCGAAGTCATGACCACCACCAAAGTCGTGGAGGTAGAGAAAAAGCAGGTTCACGTTGCAAGCAAGGATGGGTCCGATCAGAAGACATTGCCCTGCGGCCTTGTGGTCTGGGCAGCTGGGCAGATAGGTCAAGACCTGGTCACTAGGCCAAATGCTTATGCATGGCAATTTGCATGCTTATGTCAGTTAAGCCCAAAAAAGGCAAGGTAGGACAGAACCAGATTTGAACCACCCGCAAACCCTAAGCCCAAGACCATCATCCCTACTTCCCTTTCCCTGCAAGTCTAAGCTAGGCGGGAGGGAAAAATGGGCATCCAGGTTCGGGATTTGCACAAGACTTTACCTCGCCAGAAGGAGCTAGCAGAGGCCGAAGCAGGCCGGCTTTTCGCCAGGGTTTCTGCAAATCCAGCCGTAACTATTAATCAATCTTCCTAACACTGTGTCGTGACATACCTATCTCTGTACGGAGGGGGGCTGGGAGGTTGTGTTATTCAGGGGGATGTGAGCAGCGTTTTGTAGGTATGTAAGGGCTATGATGGAAGTGGTTCTGCAAGAGTGCTCGCGTAGCCTCTTGCCTGCAGGGCGTAGTTTCGCGTAGGCACCTATAATAGTCTCGTCCGCGAAGTCTGTGTAGTTGGTATGTTTTGTCAGCAAGAGGTTCGTGCTGCATAGAATTGTCAATTGCCCAGGAATGGCGTGTAGTCCGCGTAGGCAGCACAATAGCAAGAGTGTGTTCGCGTAGTCTGTTCTGCAGGGAAAACAGCAGTCCGCGCAGTTCGCGTAGGCAGACTATCTTAGTATAAAGACTTTAACCTTAAAAACAATGCTCATATGTATATGTATATATCCTTATAAATACGCGATATAAATCCCTGTGTATTTGAATGAGAGCTTCGTAATATCATGGCCCCTTCCCTGTGAGTGCATCTTAGGCTCCTCATTGGACGATGTATGTGGCCGCCTGAAATTTCTTGTGCGGATTTGTGCATTTACCTCCCGAAACAACCCCAATGCTTTAATGTGACCATGCATGGGAATGCTTTGGGGGTCTATTTTGGGCGGATCCTGGTTGGGATGTCTTGGCCCTAACCCTATTCATGAAAACCCTAAACCTTAAACCCTAAACCGAAAGCCCAGATTGATGGAGTGAAGATGTGCTTGGTCTCACCTTGCGATCAGCCCCTGCCAAGTTTGTGCACTCATTGACATTAGCTATACGAAGGTTATCATGGTATACGAGTTCAGGAGTTAGGGTCTAAGCTCCTTAAAGGGGATTATACAAGGGAGTATCATAGGGGTTCGTAAGGGGTATACTAGGAGTTTAGACTATAGCTCACAGTTGAAAGAAGTCCAATTTTACAATTTCGGGGTACGCCGCCCGCAATAGCTTGCTCATCATGTGCCCCGAAGACAAGAATTGCACCCAAAAAATCCGAGTTCCCCTAGTATTGAACATGTGTTCTTAAGTCACTTAGCTATCACCAGGGAGGAGTGCCCAAAGCACTGACCATCCGGACATTTGGTCTCCATCCCCTGGGCTGCAAAGCCCTTGGCCCCAAATTGGAGTTTTCAAAAAATGGGAGCTCCCCTTATTCGTCCCAGAGCTGTGTTGCGCATTTGTGTGACTCCAGTGTCTACGGGACAGCAATTAGGCAGACACGTAGACTTGCTACATTGGGCTGATGTCAACAAGCTTATGTGGCGCGTAGATGATCCAAATCAGAGTGCATGAGGGCCTCTGAAGGAAGCACACATCGGAAGTCTATTTGATTGCCCTAGACCCTAAACCATACTATGTAACATCAGTCTGGGTTGCTGTTAAGCAGCTTAAGTCAAGCTACCACACTACTAAGAATATGGAGTAGACAAGGGGATTTCTGTACTATGGTAACTTAGGTTCCTGCACAGCACACCCCTAAACCCCAAGCCGTAAACTCTAAACCCCAGGCCCCAAATTTAAACCCTGAACCCTAAGCCGTAAACCCTAAACCCTAAGCCCTACACACCAAACCCTGTTTCGCTCGCTTTGCCTCAAGGTCTCCACTCGCAGCTGGTGCTGACAAGGCAGGGACGCACAGATGCGCGGGCCTCGCGAGAATGTCTACGCGAGAATGTCTACGTAAAAGCGGGATGCTACTAGTGTTGATGACTAAGCTCCTGCGCTACCTGCATGTACTACCGCAGTATACCATACTGTCAGGGCTGAACATGCTTAGCCTTATGCGGGGTGCTTGCCCATCAGTTGTAGGAACGACCAGCCCATAAATAATAGGGGCATTGGCTTTATCTGACGCTAACTGCTGGCCGCCCACAATGTGTTGCTACCGCAAAGACTCCTGAGGTTTCTGTGGAAGATTTCCTTCGCTCAGCACCAGATCCTCCTGAGGCCATTTTTGGCCATACGGTGGATGGCAAGAATCCTGCATGACCTTAAGTATCTTATACCCTGGGAATTACGGCATCTTAATAAAGTAAAGTCATGCAGGATTTTAGTATCAACTGTTGGGTTCGATTACGGCTCGCCTTCATCTGTCTCTTTGTAGCAGACAGTGCGTTTGCTGGACTATTCATTACTCAGCTTAGATGGAGTTTTCGGTTGAATTCAGTTTCTGAAGGTCTGCCGAGCTCTAAGCGCTGTTGACCTGTTTTTTTTCTAAGCGTCTAACCATAATACTATAATAGTTTCCATTTTCTTTTCCATTATCCCAGTATAACCCCAATATAACCCCAGTATATAACCCCATAATATAGTCAGCTGACATGCCACCAGCATGGATTTGCGCGCAGGGCCTCCTCGCTTCGGTTTGAGCAGTGTACGTCCGGGTAGCGGGTTGAATTGGGGGTTTCCCAAAATTAGGGTCACCTTTTGGGGGGGTCCCCATATTGAGGATTATAGTATTTGGGGGTCTATATGGGGGTCCCCCTATTTTGGGAAAGTACCAATTGTTCTTTGACCTTCAGGTCAAGGTCTTCTCTTTGAATTTTTCTGCTCCAGTATTCTGTCGTTCTGCGATAACTTACAGAAATATGGTCCCCCTTAAGTAGGTAGACTATGGCTTCGGGTATATTATAATAAGATCCCCATATACCCCACATTCTATCTACTTAAGGGGGACTATGGCTCGTTGATGCTCCTGTGGGATGGTGGGAAGTTCCCCTAGAGACACATCTCGCTCCTCGAAGCTTCGGCTGCAAGTGCCACTGCAGGTTTCTCAGATGAGCCAAAGTCTAGACTCCTTAAAGGGGGGTTATATAGGGATTATATAGGGGACTACTATAGGGGTTATTAAGGGGGATACTAGGAGTTTAGAATATAGCTCAGATGAGGGCTCCCTTACAGATCCCGTGGCTTATGCTCGGCTATGCGAATGTTGTACAGATGCAGCTTGAAAATAGGAATCATGTTCCAGGACCCTCCTTGTACCCTTAATTGGGGATATATGGTCCCTACTAGTGGGTACTTAGGCCCTTAATAGAGGGTAGGAGGAGGGTCTAGGTTGGTACATCTAACTCCTAAACTCGAAGCCTTACGTAAATCCTGCTGCGACAGAAGCAAAGACGAGAGAAACGGTCTGTTGTGTGCAGGAGCGGAGCGCCAGAGCCTCACCTTCGGGGAGTCCTTGAATTGATTTTTTGGGTATGGGGTTTTAGGGTTTCGGGTATAGGGTTTCTGGTATAGGGTTTAGGGTGTAGGGTTTTGGGTTGTGGGGTGTTTAAAGGGCAGACTTGTTGCATTGGGAGATGTTTTTTTGTTTTTTTGTTTGTTTTTTTGTTGCGGCGGGGGCGGGAGTTAGCCATGGGACAGCACCGCTACATGTGTCAAAAGAGGGCCCGGAAGCTTCCCTTATTCAAGGTGTGTGCAGATCCATAGCATGCTTGAGTGTACCCGGCTCTGTGACCCCCATATGGTAGTTTCCCAAAATCAGGGGACCCCAATATAGGCCCCAAAATACTATAGTGCTTATTATTGGGGCCCCTAAAAAAGGTACTCCTAATTTTGGGAAACCCCCATATAGCTAGTAGTTGTTGTTTATCGCGGTCCGCTCCCCACACAAGCCTGCATTCATGAAACTCAGCATACTGGAAACATTCAGTTTGTTGGCACATCTGTTTGCAAACCCGCCTCCACATGTTGTGGGCAACCCACATGTGACCAAGAGACCTGCGTAGTTCCCCAGTGACCTCTACAAAAACTTTGAGAATCCCAGAGGCCGTTTATTTTTGATCCCAGCTGGCAAATCCTTCCGCCCAAAAGCAGCCCAAATGTGATTGAATGTAATCTCGACACCCGCGGCCAGTTGCGAAATGATCCACTGCCTTGATCTCAAAACCCTTCGCCCTAAACCCATAAACCCCTAAACCCCAAACCCTAACCCCTAAACCCATAAACTCTAAACCCCTAAACCCTAAACCCATAAACCCCTAAACCCATAAACCCCTAAACCCTAAACCTCCAAACCCCTAAAACCCTAAACTTTCAGGATGGAGATGCTCCAGCGTCTGACCTTCGAGGACGTGCCTCCGGAGCCC